CCGCCCCCATCCTCTTTCTTTTAGCTAGCAACGCCGTCAAAGTCATATGCAGCTACCCTTTTCGATATTGAATTAGCGATTGTTTGATAACGATCTTGACGACCAAAGAAGGGGAGATGGAGGGGTAGGGGTGATAGTGGAGGAAGAAATTTGGTGAAGGGAAGGATTGGGGGAGATCGTACCATCACCATTCTCCCATCCCGATGTTATGACGTGTGCACGGAGTGCGGTCGCAAAGCGGCGAGTCTTGTATCCTGTCTGTTCTAGATGACGCACTTCCATGAATTACTCAGTTCCAAGAGATTACTGTGACTAGAAAAGCCCCAAAAACCCGTCTTTCCATGGACACTGTTCCTTAGCTTTTATTTTGCCTGAGCCTGGACCATCGAGCTCATGGTCAGTCCGTTCCTGCCCATTACCATTACGTGACTATAAAACGGCGACGCATATCTCAGACTTACCGATGGAGAATCCATTATTTCCGTTTCTTTTACAGAAACCGTCTCCTTGAATTGGACGGACTTTCGTTCGTATGAATTTCCTGGGGATATGTTTTCTCTGAAAACACTCAATAAACTGGTTTTAATCAACCGTAGGCATTAGAAAAATGCACGGCTCTACGTAAGTCCAGTAAAAGGCAGGGTTTGCGCATTGAGCACAGTGCTAAAAGTTGCCGCTGGCTTTTGCGGGAGCTGCTCTATGAAAACCCCCTTAGATGGACCCTGGCGATATTGCCGGATCCCCAGCCACGGTACAGCATCGTTATGCGAAACGAATGGGGGATGGAAGAAGGGGGGGGGTCCTACTTGGCCGCTGGGGAGGAGGGTCGTATTTGGCCGCTGTTGGGAGAGGGGAGAGTCGTATGTGTCTTACAGAGGAACTTGCCGCGTTGGGAGAAAATTTTTACCGGTTGTTGACTTTTCGCGGTTTTCCCCGTTTCACATCGGCATATACCCCCTCCTATCCGCTCGATGGGAAATTTCTGGTTGAAAAACTGGAAAATGTGGGAAGTTTTGGAAAAACTGGAAGCTTGGAACTTGTAGGAAAGTGATAGGTAGGTGTCGAGGAAAGGGGGGGGGGGGGGTCGTACCGAGACCCTCCTTCAG